CCCCAAAACCCCAAAACCCCAAAACCCCAAAACCCCAAAACCCCATAAGAGCTCTAAGAGATTGAAATTATAAAGAGTAAAATGTTAATCAAAACTTTTATTGTAATAATATTGATCGGCTTCTGAGCCTCAATAATGCTAGAGCAAGAAAGAAACCTTGTATCTTCCAGTGCTTCTGAGTGAAGATCTTGAGTCAGTAACTCGGCTCAGAGATGGTGAGCAACGACTGGAAATGAACAGACAAATGGAGAATGATGTAACTCAGGAGATACCTCAGGTTATTGAGCAAGCGATCAGAAGTATTAATTATTAACCTGTTTAGCTATGTTTGATCAAATGATAGCACAATTGAGGGTAATGGAGGACTTATTCTGTGCCCGGTTGACACTGCTGACTGTGGATCTAAAAGCTATTCCTTAGACCGAAAAAGTGAAGAATACCAACTTTCTAAATCTTCAATTACCTCAGATTCAGTTTGTTCCTACAGGATCTACACAGATGATGCAAATATAAATAGCATTGATATTAAAATCAGTAAGAACCCCTTGATTTCTGAAAAATGAGCCGAATTTTTCTTTCAAAAAAGAAGGCGTATCTTAAAATTCATAGCTTTGATTATCAGAGTTAGCGTATTATGCTTCTTTAAGCATAGCTTTTGGCTACTTTGTTCAGGTTTGTTCCGTCAGAAAATTTGTCATTCCCTACTTTGAGGTTTGTAAACAAATAGATTGGACAGAAATTCTTATTTGAATAAGGATTTTTCTGTTTGTTTACTTTCAGTAAGAAAGAATACCTGACCAGTTTTATGCAATCATGACTCAAGATGAAGGTCTATGATAATATTTGAAGCACGAGAATTAGTTATCACTGCTATTTACTAGAGATTAATGGATCTATAACTTTAACTAGGAGCCATACTTTATAGCAACCCTCACATCCACTAATCTCACAATATTCACCGGCCCTCGTACCACAAACTCTTACTCCCTAAAATCCAACCTCCAAGAACCCGATCAAAAAACAGTCTCCTTCAGCCCTTCCACTGACCTGTACATTACTATTGAACCTACAAGCAGTCAGAACGAGTTCTCCCTGACTCTTAAGCCAAATGGGGAGCCTGAAACGTAACTTGAGGTTTTCAGTATAGGTTATCAACGACAGTGAGGATTATTATAGGGATTTCGGTTGCTCTGCTGGTTAGTGGAGGGATTGGACTGGTGATCTTTTGTTGATGGAATTCTAAGAATAGAGGAATGATTATTAAGAACCATGCGGGTAAGTAAACCCTTCTTCCTCTTCTTCACCTACCTCTTCTACAGTTGCCGACGACCACATCCGATCTGCTGACCAAACTCCCCATCCTGCACCTGCCCAACCTCACCACACCACCTCCTCCCACCTAGGTACACTTCCTTCTTAACCCACAGCCCAACCAGACCCAGTCTACACTCAACCAGACCCTCCAGCTGCCCCTGCACAGTACGCTGATCCTTCCTTAGCCCCAGTGTAAGCTTAAGCTTGACTTGTAGGAATGCTTACACAGTAGGCCACCCAGGAGGGTTACCTCCGGTAAGACCTCCAGTGGGAGCTGGGCCATATGGGTATCAGAACCAGATGGTGGTTTAGAGGGAGATTTTAAGTTTGGGATAGTTCAGTTTGGAAGTTTAGGAGGGGTTTTGGGGTTTTGGGGTTTTGGGG